GACAAACTACGTGCAACTGACAGTATCGTTTCGGAGAATACAGTATTCGAAATAAGCAACTCGGTTGGGACTGGCGAATAATGATATATAATAAAGATACATTCATTATTTCCTGAATTTCAAAATATTATGAATGATATTATATCGAGTGGAATTTTGAATTTGTATTGAATAGTTGAATCTTACTTGGAATTTTGCTGATTTTCAGGCGATGGTGCTTCTTGCTTGAAAACCGTCAGCGATGGCAGAGCGAGTAAGGCTTCGCTGTAAGCAAACAAGAAACACTTGCTATAATTTCGAATCATTCTAAGCACGTTTTCCGCACAGTTTATTGGCGTGCGATAACTCAGCGCAATACAAACCTTTTTTCGCACGTTTCGTGAGACGCAATTGTCACTCATCTCCAATTTTGTGAAATCCATTTAAATCTCGCGTCGACAATTTTAAAAACTATGATGAATCCTCTCTAAGAGGCGTGAAAATTTCCTGTTTAATTAAGCAACGCATGGGTGATCCATACTATTTCTTGGAAGTATTTGTCTTGTATTTAGTTGGTGCATAATTATCCGCCATTCTCTTTTTTAATTTTATTATGAAACAAGAAACATAAAAATTCAACAGAAACATGTTTAATTGTTTATTCTGGAGCGTATTCGCCATCTACTTCACCTACTACACCAACCCAATATTAGATAGGGATGATAATAATGATTCTCGGAATTGGAGGGTGTACAGATAAAAAAGTAATGGTTTTATAATTATAAGTACACGTACACTTACTGACAAAAATTAAGAAACAAAATAATCGCTTCTGAACCAATCGTGTATTCTTTTTTTTTTATCGAGATATACAGGTCAAAAATAAAAGTAGCACGAAGAAATAACATTTCATATGTCAACGTACTGTAAGTAAAAATAAAAATTAAAAACTTAAAAGACTTTTTTCATGAGTTCTCTTAGAGTTTTGATTCTGTTGCTGTTACCTTGAAGAAAAGAGAATAACAGTTGAGCAATCGAGTTTAAAAAAAAATATCACCTTACAGAGATAAAAATTGAAAACACAGAAGACCTTTTTCTCTGAAATTCAATTTTTCCCAATGAACATCTAAATTTTTAATTTTTATTTTCGAAACTAAGCGTTCTATGAATAAACTGTACATATAAAAAAGTATCGTCTCATCGTCGCGAGATGAAAAGTATTTCGCGATTAAAAATGATTGGGAAACGCTGATGTAATGCATCGTTTTCGGCGCATGTGCAATCTTAACGCGTTTGTTTACCACTCGCTAAGTTTACACCGGCGAAATGCTATTCAAATCGGCTCCGGTCTTCGATCAGAGAATCTCCTATCCAATATTAACCGACAGATTCTAGTTTCCGTTATCGACGTTCATTGATTGAGATTTCGTGACGCAACCAACCGACCAACGATTAACTATAATTTATTCCAGCGTTTCTCAACCTTCGTCACTGCAATATTTGTCTTTTCAATAATAGGGGACGGCGGTTGCAAAAAAATTTAGTTGCAAAAAAACGTTAGTGTTACTTTAAGCAGGCATAATTATTCGAGCTTTATTGGCTGATGCGTTTCAATTTTGTAAGTGGTACGTTACTAGAAAATGTGTGAGTAATTATGTGTTCACCTTATTTATGGAGTTGAATTGTAAAAAAGCAAGTTTTGCGAAAATAAGGCCCCAAACCCAAGGAAGTATAGAGTTTTGCAAGTAAACCACGTGATAAAATTTTTGTATCAAGAAACCGACTTCAGATACGCGTTTCTCGATCCGAAAAACGTTGAAAAGCATATTTTGGGCGAGATCTAAAAATACAAATTTTTTGATCGAAAAATCAGAAGGTAACCTTGAAATTTTCAGCTTTTGCAACTATTTATTTTTTTACTTCAGAACCTTAAATGGGAATTTGATGAAATTTTAACTGAATGTCCACCTTCATAATAGGTACCCATAAAAAAATCGGTGACCCGCTACGAAAATGTAGGAGCTTCAAAAAAAATTCGCGAGTGTTTTTGAGGCTTGTAATCTTTGACCCGAATTTTGAGGGTGATAAAACCATCTGAGCGTTTTTTAGCACTGAATAACTTTTATCGTCCTTTAAAAGAGCTTTCCAACGGCGTATTTGTTGAATAAATCGGTTGAGAATTGAGGAAGTTATGGACGTTTAAAGTTGACAAGTTAATCTTCGGTCACGATTTTGGTCAATTCCTCAGCGTATTATAGGAAATAAAAAAAATATTATCCAATCATCACGGAATTCGGTATCTATAGGGTTTTTTGGGTGCTGAATCCGAATATGGTGTTATTTCTGCTTTAAAAAATTTTCCTGAGGTAGTTTCCCAATGTTGTTAGTACCAAAAGCGGTTTTTTTTACCGAAAACTTGGAAAATAATTTTCCCAAAATTTTTTAACTATTTGTACTGAATTTCGCGCACCGATTTCAGTGCGAATCAATAAAAATATTGGTTTTTTGAATATTTTTGCGAGTCCCCTGCTTTTTTAAAGTCTAGAATCACCAAAAAAAGTTTTTATGACAAAATTTTTCACGATTATTGGATTCCGCGCAGTATATTAGAGCGAACCAAAAGTTCGTGTGTTTTTTATGTTGTTCAGTTTATGCAATTTTCTGAAGTCATTGAAATAACTTAATATGCAAGTGTTATACATCATTTTGTAGCTTTTGAAAAGATCTTTCGTATTTAATTATTACCTGCATTAATTTATTGATCGTTTAATTTTTGTTCGTTTTAGTAAAATCATGGAAAATTTTGTGATTCGAGTACTTTCGAGTGCGTGACGAGCTTTGTTCCCTGTAGGTATTGACTTTCAAAAGTACATACGTATAGCTTCAAAATTGTTGACAGCTTAATTGGTTTCCCTGTTTGGTCATTCAATTATTCTATGGAACATTTACTGTAACATATTTATGAAATTTTTATGAAACATATCGAAAATGAAAAAATCCAATAACATATTGGCTTATTTTTGCCACTACTACCAATAGAAATGGATAAAAATATGACGAATAACGGAGAAGAAACTTCAGATTTTCCAAACTTTCAAGCTTTTTAATTTCCAGTTTTTTTTTCGACGGTCTCACTGATGACAACAGCAAATTTGTTAACCGATGTTATTAATAACTAGATTGCGGATCTTTATGCAAAATGAAATCTTCGCGAAAATGGCTTCAAGAAATATTATAACAAATATCATAACGTGAACTTTTCGTTCAATCTTTTTTATATCCTTGCATATTGTTTACATTTTGTAGTTCTAGCACATTCCAATTTCCTTTAAATGCATAAAGACCCTCAGTCTATTAATAACAATGAAATACTGTGAGAATCATTATAATAATATGCTTCTTTCTTTCTTGTTCGGATATCGTCTTGAATGTTAATCCATCCTCTCAATAATCGACAATAGACAATTTAAAAAGAAGAAAAAGAAGATGCGTGCATAATGTGGTAAACCAATAAACACTGCTGAATATATTCGTACATGTCCGAGTGGTTTCGTGAACTGTACCTCTTGCAATTCATTTACAGATAATGATTTGTTTCATCATAGAAAATCCAGCGCGAACCGGAACGAGGTTACACGCGACTTGCATAAACCACGTATAACCATAATCACGAGCCAACGGTACGCCATTTGTTTGCGTACCTTGAAAACAGAGATGGTTCAAACTATAAATAAGACAATAAAAATAACTGACTGGAATATAAATAACTGTTTATCCTCGTGACTTTCTCTATAAAAATTTCAAATTTATGAAATATTTCACAACAAAGAGATCAAACGTTAATGTTCGATCGAACGAGCGTGGCGAATAAATTTCTACATGTTGGTTTTATTCGTTATCTATAATCATTCTATTTATAGATTTCTATAATTAATTTTGTTGTATTTTTTATATATTTTATCCAACTCTTTATACTTTCACTAGGTAAATTACTAAACTACGGATTTTATGCATCTATCGCATATGCATGCGAAATATCCGCAGGATACGTTCTCTTATGAATAATAAAACATTGTCGTTATCATTTTAATATATTTAACGTTTATCTACATACACCATAAATGCATTACCTATCTATTATAGTACATATCGTCTTGTAAACTACAGCAAAGTATAATAATTTAAACATTGCCGAATCCTGTAACTCTTTTTTCTTTTTTCCTCCTTTTTTTTTTTTAACAGTGGGACCAATTTCTGTAAATCCCCAGTCACTTTCTGTTTCCGCACGATTTTGCCAATTGTTTTTTTAATTATAAATTTTGTTTGTTTAGATCTCAAGTGAACAGAAACGACGTAAGTGTAAGATGACAATAGAAACGCGGTTCGCACGAACATTACAGTACAATTTTATTTTTTATCACTGAAGACGAAACGAAGAATGGTAGAATGGCTTGAGAACCGCTATGATAAGAGTGAAGTCACTAAGGTCA